ACAAGGGGGCGAAAGAAACTAATCTCACGGATTTCTACGATTGTGTTTTCAAAATGCAAACGCTAGAATATCGTGGAAGGACATGGTCATGGCTTGACTTTTTTGAGCAGTTGAAGAAAGGTCAGAATACACAGAGATCTTCTGCACAGATTTCGCTGTCGCTGTTTAATTCCCATTTTTTACGCACTAACCGATTTTCCTAACAATAATCGATTGACAATTTATCTAACAGATGTAATTAGATCCATTCTTCGAAACACGGGAGAATTAATAAATGCCAAGTTACGCAGGCCAAAACCAAACACCGATTCTGATTCAAATGTAACTGGCAATATGAACGAGAGTACGTCCTCTGATCTGAATAACGCGACTGAAGAGTTGCTGTTAGGTCAAGACTCAATGTCGGGAGCAGAGGAAGCATCGGATAAGGGATCTGTTACAAGTAACGAGAGCTTGGAAAAAAAGCCAACTAGACATCACCTATTGAAGTGAGTGAAATAACGTAATTCAATATGAAAAGAGATAGAATATGTTATTAACTCGAGAAACAATCTTATTTATAGGAAAAGCAAGAATGAAAGCAGAGAAGTAAATAGAAAACATGCACGCAGAATCAGTAACTCCACTATGATCTCACAATTATCTAGCAGTACCTCATCTTCGGCGTCTCATCAGCATACACCTGATGATGCTGAATTCGAGACTAAGAGAAAACTTTTATTGGGAAAACTATATTCGGGCATTCACCATCATAAATAATCTGATAGTTTGTGTTCAAAAATGGACAATCGTAAAAAAATCCGTATATCCTTAAACGTAACAATGTAAAATAGTAATTCATTATTTTCTCGAAAGGGTTAATTCCAGTCCCTTGAGAATACATTTAGACTCCGATTGGTGTTTAGTAAGACGCCATATTATTAATATTAATTAATATATTTATTAAATTGAAAAATGTGATTTCACGCTAAATATTGTAAGGAAAAACATCTTGTCAGCAGTCGCGGAAACAATATCCTTCATGATTTCTATTAAGTAACGTTCTAATAAAAGGCATACTGTGCAATTTTCGTCATAAGGGAGTTGATCATTCATCGCTAGTTATGTAATTTAGTCCTTATTTAATCTTCTCTTTTTTACCGGCTTTTTCTTCCTTAACTTCCTTGGGGTCTTGGTGTTATCAGCAAAAAATCCAATTCTAGATGTGGGTGGCGGTGTAGAACTTCGGCTAGCTTCTATTAATTCATTTTCCAGGTCATCATCTGATCCATTATCATTGTTATTATTATCCAAAACATTCAAGACTTGTAGATTATCCTTAATACTCAACTGTAGAAACGATCAGAAGGCTGAATAGAAACAAAATAATATTACGACAATAAGCTTTCCTTACCTTGTATTGATAAATTGTTATTAAAAGTTTAAGAAAAGATCTTACTCCTTTTTTCGAGAACTTGCTATCTACATTGAAGGATCTCGGGTCTTTTCGAAAAATACAAACAGAACCACCTGCACGCCACAATCTTACAAATTGGATCCATAGCCCAAGATGTAAGATTCCAACCACCTGTAACCTGTCTGCTTTTTCTCGTTCGTAGTTTACGGCAATCAGCATATCAGTATACATGTCCCGGAGAGTTTTTGGCATCTTGAACGCCTCGAGAAGGTATTTCCGGTCCGAAACGCCCAAGAAAGATTTCGCGGCTTCGATAGCCCCCATTTCAAGTTTTCTATTGATGCTATAAATTATCCCGTCGATGTTGCGGCCGGTAAGCTTTCCTGTACGCGTACTCGCTTGCCTGCCGCGGTTTTTCCTGTTCGCACTATTGACCGACGGGGCATCTGTTCTATAAAAAGTGTGAAATAAACCGTTAGAAGACACGAAATTGCACATTCATGTTGATGGAACAGTTAAAAACCTCTTAACAAATGCCGTTCCCAGTTGTGTGTCCCTAACACAGAAATCGATGCATGATCCAAAAATTGCAACCGTGTACCAGTCTTCACATTGGCATCTTATCATTGGGGAATCCGTATTTTCATATAAATTACATAGCGTGCGCATAGACATCTGAATCCATTCTTTATCGTAATGTTTACGAATATCATATTTTTCTTCATCTTTAAGATACGTCGTCATTACAATTGTGCGTAGTTC